AAGCCGGAAGCCCTTTTATTCGGGACCCCACCCCTGAACTCCCTTGCTGAAGTGGAAGTTAAGAGAAGGAGGCTCTGCACTAATGTTTACCTCAGAAGCAGGTTTAGGGTCTAGGGTTTCGGGTTTCCGGAAGAAGGGTTTAGGGTTTTAGGTTTCCAAAAAAGAATAAAGAATAAAACCCCTATACTGCCCGTATAAGGACTTTTTTTGGGCGGGGCGAGGGGGGTTTCTAGCAACTAGTAGCTCACAAGGGGTGTCATATGTAAGAAACTTGAACAAAGGACCGCGACATTGAGACTAGGTCAAAACATATGCCGCTATGGGGTGAAGTAGGCTTCAGGGTTCAGGGTTCAGGGTTCAAGAGCATGAGCCCTCAGTGCATCGTGGGCTGAAGGCATTTCTCAGACTTCTACGTACGCTGTGGCGGCCTTGCCAACCTTGGGGACTAAATGAACCCTAAAAGGGTTCATCTAGTCATATACCTTGGTAGGAACTATAGTACTCAGGGTATATGACCCCAATTTTAGGGTTCATTTCGTTTTCAAGGCATTAGCTTGGGCGCGTCGGCTCACAGAGGCTTCTCCGGCCCAACAGAAGGGACTACATGTCCTTGCGTGCACGACGCTGCAGTTTGTTCACAGGATCCAAAATCCAACAAAAACGCAGTATGGGCATTTCCCAAAATAGCGGTACCCCAATACACCCCGAAATACTAGTTCATTCGGAACCATGTACCCTATTTTCGGAATCCTCCGTATAACTTGACGGCCTGACTTGTTCTACTGGACGTAGAGCTTATGCGACGATGACGAACGAGACATTTTTGTTGCCTTTCATCCGGGAGACCGATAAGGCTGAGGATCTAGGAGGCTTTACTTGGCACGTCGACGTTCCGGCACGTGCGGGAGCTATAACTCGACGGAAACCAGCGGGTTGCGTGTCATCAAGGCTAAATTGCGTGGTGCTTCGGCGCAAGCTAGCGTCTCTGGTGTGTTTGTCGTTCCTGGGGCCAGGCGCGAGCATAGCATGTCCCTGTAGACCAAATGAGCCCTAAGATTGGGGTCATAAACCCTATACGACTAGACCCCTTTGAAGGTAATGGGGGTTGACGAAAATATGAGACCCCCGAATGTATACCCCCAAATACTAGGATTCCCTTCTGATAAGGACCCCAACAAATTCCGGAAATCCTAAATCCTAAACCTAAGGCACTAACACCCCAAATCCCCAAGCTGATGAACTTTAACCCCCTTTAGGGTTCATTTGGTCCCCAAGATAAGCAGCTGGCCACGTGCTTGGGCCTTAGAAGTAGGAGTTGGCTACAGCAGCACGAGAACCCTAGTACAGAGATGGGGTCGTTTCTGTGAGGAGTAGGGCTCACAGCTGGAAATTCTTGCGATTTAGGCTTTAGGGTTTAGGGCTTAGGACTGAGGGTTTAGATTTTAGGGTTCATAGGGCAATGGAGCTCAGAACCGGCAGGAGGCCAGGCGTCAGCACAATTGTGCACGAGCTCTGGCACTGTGGCACGCATGGGCGGCGAAGAGCCGGCGCTTTGCAAAAAAGAGTTTTAGGGTGTAGAGTTTAGGGTTTAGGGTGTAGGGTTTAGGGGAGTAGGCTAATAGTTTAGGGTTTGGGATTTGGGGTTGCTTCAGGGGGTCAGGGGGCCTCATGTTGTCCAAGGATTGAAATTGCGTGCTGAGTCGTCATACTAAGCCCGAAACGTAGATTTCTAAAGAAAGGAGAGTCTCGAACTCTTTATTAAGAGCCAGGATGTAAACCTTAGAGGCTCACTATACCTTATCATAGACACCCTAAACCCTAAACCCTAAACCTTAAACCCTACACCCTAAACCCTAAACCTTAAACCCTAAACCCTAAACCCTAAACGTCTACGGTTCAAGCTCTTAACAAATGGGTCGGACTTTGCGAGGTTGGAGGCGAACCCAGGAGCCTTGCACCCCCTTCAAACCCGAACACCCCAACACCCTAAGTCCCTAAAACAGTAAACGGGTTTAGGGTTTAGGGTTTAGGGTTTAGGGTTTAGGGTTTAAATCCCGAAAACCCCCAAAACCCAGCCTCAACCCCTAAACCCTAGACCGTAAGCCTCTATCATCTCCAACCCTAAACCCTAAACCCTAAACCCTAAACCCTAAACCCTAAACCCTAAACCCTAAACCCTAAACCCTAAACCCTAAACCCTAAACCCTAAACCCTAAACCCCCAACCCAAACCCTTAAACCCCTAATCCCCAACCGAACCCCTCCCTAACTGCCCTCACCCTCCCCTCACCCCCTAAACCCGAGCCCCCCAACCCTCAAGCGAACCCCTCCTAAAACCCTAAGCCCTGCACCCTCACCCTTAGTTAACCCTAAACCCTAAAACCCCTAAACCCCAAACCCCAAACCCCAAACCCTAAGCCCTAAAACCCCTAGACCCTAAACCCCAAACCCCAAACCCCAAACCCCAAACCCTAAACCCTAAACCCTAAACCCTAAACCCTAAACCCTAAACCCTAAACCCTAAACCCTAAACCCTAAACCCTAAACCCTAAACCCTAAACCTTAAACCTAAACCTAAACCCTAAACACTGAAGCTCAGGTTGACTACAGTCCTCCACGGCTGGTGGCTGCGGCGGCGCGCCGCGCAGGCTGCGGCCTGAAGCCGGGTTTAGGGTTAGGGCTTAGGGTTTAGGGTTTAGGGTTTAGGGTTTAGGGTTTAGGGTTTAGGGTTTAGGCCTTAGGGTTTAAAGTTTAGGATTTAGGGTTTAGGCCTTAGGGTTTAGGATTTAGGGTTTAGGCCTTAGGGTTTAGGATTTAGGGTTGAGGCCTTAGGGTGTAGGGTTAGGGTTAGTTGAAGGTTGAGGTTTAGGGCTCAGGTTTCAAAGCCCTGTAAAGGAGCCCTCCTAATCCCCCGATAAGTTAACAGCCATATACTCCCCTAAAACCCAAACACCCCAAAGCCTTAAAACCCTAACACCCTTGTGAACCCTAGAAGCCCTAAACCCCCGAAAGGCTTAACCCCTTAAAACCCTCAAGCCTTTCATCGTCCAACCTTCCCCGCCCTGTGACCCTGAAAGCCCCTGAAAAGCTCCTGAACCCTCAACCCTAAATCCTAAACCCTAAAAAACCCTAAATCCTAAACCCTAAAAAGCCCTAAATCCTAAACCCGAAACCCTAAACCCTAAATCCTGAAACCGTCTGAAAAACCCCAAACAGAGCGCCAGCTGGCCCTCAGGCTGTGGCCCTCTGGCGCTCAGTCGCGGTCGACGCCCAGGCAGCGACTGCCGGTTGAGGGTTTAGGGCTTAGAGTTTAGGGTTTAGGGTTTTTTGGGTTTATAGGGTTTAGGGTCTTGGGCTTAGTTAGGTTTAGGAATTGAGGGCTGAGACTACAAAATTTGTAGTCTCAGGTTTCGAGCGCGTTCATGTAGTACAGGGGCTGAAGGCCAAAGTGTCCTATGTCCTCAGGCCTTGCCGCTTCTACAGTACCCAAGCCGGGTCCCTAAACCCTAAACTCTAAACCCTAAACCCTAAACCCTTAATTCTTAACCCTTAACCCTTAACCCTTAACCCTTAAAACCCTAACCCTAAACCGGGGTACAGGGTTTGGGGTAAAACGGGCTGAGGTCCAAAGGGCTGAGAAGCTTCCAGGGGCCTGAAAGGCTCAAGGGCTTACAAGGTAGGGTTTGGGGATCAGGAGTTGTTGTTGGGTTTAGGGTTTAGGGTTTAGGGTTTAGGGTTTAGGGTTTAGGGTTTAGGGTTTAGGGTTTGGGGTTTAGGGTTTGGGGTTTGTTTGGGGTTTAGGGTCCGGGGTTTAGGGTTATTAGGCTTTACAGGGTTTAGGGTGTTTTGGCCTCTTAGGGCTTAGACGGCCTTTGCGCGCTGCTACCCGATGCTAGAAGCAGGGCATCCGGGTCTTAACTCCATATTAATATGAGGGCATTAGACACCTGAACGCTTGAGTTTAGGGTTTAGGGTTAAGGGTTTAGGGTTTAGGGTTCAGGGTGCAGGGCTTAAGGTTTATGCTTGAACCCTCCAAATCTCTCAAATCCTTAACCCGATTCCAGCCCTAAAGCGTTTACACCCAAACCCTCAAACTATCAACAGGGCCTTGGGCTTCTGGAACTGCCGTTGTGTCGATGTTCCCCTTTCACGCGAGGATGCTTCTGCGGCGCAGGCGCCGCTGGGGTCAGGGCTCTTCTTGGCTTTGCGTTTCGTTTTTGAGGGTTTTTCTCTCCAAACATCTTAAACTCCATCCCCTCCACACCCCTAGCTCCAACTTTTTCACTCTACTGACTATGTAAAGCTTATCGGGCTTGCAGGGTGTGGAGGGTTTAGTATTTAGAAGACCTAAACCCTAAACCCTAAACCCCAAACCCCAAACCCCAAACCCCAAACCCCAAACCCCAAACCTTTCTATACGTACGAATTATGAGGGAGGTATGAGGTTTAATTAAGGTTTAGGGTTTTGGCGTTGCGGTTTAGGGTTTAGGGTTTAGGGTTTAGGGTTTAGGGTTTAGGGTTTAGGGTTTAGGGTTTAGGGTTTAGGGTTTAGGGTTTAGGGTTTAGGGTTTAGGGTCTCTCTCTCTCTCTCTCTCTTCCTATCTTTCTAAACACACTACGCCATTACGAACCCAACTTCGGGTTCCTCACATAATGAGCCCACCGACAACTGGGGGGGGGGGGAATTTTATGGTTGAGGGCTTTTTTGGGTTTAGGGTTTAGGGTTCAGGGTTCAGGGTTCAGGGTTCAGGGTTTAGGGTATAGGTTACGGTTTATATACTATAGGGGTTTAGGGTTTAGGGTTTAGGGTTTAGGGTTTAGGGCTACTCTTGATATACTGGTATTAGGGGTCACACACATCCCACATGGTCGACCGGCTGCACCACAAGCACCGCAGGGACCTCAAGGACTATCCGCCCCCCCCCGGATTTCTCGGTTGAGCCTCCCGAAAACCCTAAAGCCTAAACACTAAACCCTATACCTTACACCCGAAGTTTCTCGAACATGGCACGTCATGTGGGAGGGAAGAGATCTCAACCGCAGTTACCACAGCCTGGAGCACGGAATCAGGCCAGGGACCTTCTTCTTCCACCCGGCAGGACTGGCTCCCTAAACCCTAAACCCTAAACCCTAAACCCTAAACCCTCAACCCTAAACCCTAAACCCTAAACCCTAAACCCTAAACCCTCAACCCTAAACCCTAAACCCTAAACCCTAAACCCGGTGAACCCTGTGAACCCTGTGAAGCCTCTAAACCCTCTAAGCCCCATCAGCCTCAACCATTTGAGCGCTGCGAACCCTACATGAACCCCCTAAAACCCTTTAAGCGCCGATGAGCCCTATCGAGTTGAAGCCCTAAGCCTTAAACACGGGAAATCGCCACAACGACAACCCAAGGACCCTAGCTATGTTAGACCCTACTTCTGGTAGGGTGTAGGTTTCAGAGTTTTTTGTTTAGGGTTTAGGGTTTCGGGTTTCCCTAAACTACCCACAAAACCCTAAAACCCTACACTCTGGGCCAGAAATGGCCTTGAAACCCTAAGCCGTAAAGCCTAAACTCTAAACCCCCAGTCTTCTCACCTGGAACTCAGTGAATGCTACAGGAGCTATGACCCCGATTTTAGAGTTCAACCCTAAACCCCAGACTCTAAGCCCTCATAAACCCAAACCCCAAACCCCCTAAGCCCCACGCCATACTGAACCCCAAACCTAGAACCCCCTAAAAACCCTAAACTCCCAAGTACAGGGGTACCAGGCCCCTTCAAACCCTCAACCCGAAGCCCTGAACCCTAAACCCTGATCCCTAAACCCTAAACCCTAAACCCTAAACCCTAAACCCTAAACCCTAAACCCTAAACCCTTAACCCTAAACCCTAAACCCGAACACCCCACTTGAGGCCGCCCTTCGAGGCCGCTTGCGGCGCCGTCGTCTCCGTGCCGCGCTGAGGCGCAAGGGGGGTAGGGTTTAGGGTTTAGGGTTTAGGGTTTAGGGTTTAGGGTTTAGGGTTTAGGGTTTAGGGTTTAGGGTTTAGGGTTTAGGGTTTACGGTTTAGGGTTAGGGTTCAGGGTTCAGGGTTTAGGGTTTAGGGTTTGGGGTTTAGGGTTTACGGTTTACGGTTTAGGGTTTAGGGTGTAGGGTGTAGGGTGTAGGGTTTAGGGTTTAGGGTTTGTCTTAGGTTTGCTTTAGGCGTGGCTTAGGAGGCTTAGGGTTTAGCTTTTAGAGGTTGGGGCTTAGGGGTTAGGGTTTAGGGTTTAGGGTTTAGGGTTTAGGGTTTAGGGTTTAGGGTTTAGGGTTAGGGGTCTTTAGGGGGCTTACGGGTTTAGGCTTTAGGGTGTCGGGTATAAAGTTTACGGTTCGGTGAGCCCCGCATCCCTGCAAGCCCTTCTTCTCCTAGAAACGTCAAGACCTACAACCATGTCTTAAGACAAGGAAAGGCTGCATTTATTACATAAAAGGCTTTCCCAAAGCCCTAAACCCTAAATCGTAAACCCTAAATCCTAAACCCTAAACCCTAAACCCCAAACTACAGGGTTAAGGGGACCAGAACTTAGGCAAGGTGCACGGATGGACCATGGGATCGCCAAACCCCCTAAAGCCTAAACCCTAAACCCTACACCCTAAACCCTAAACCCCAAACCCTAAACCCCAAACCCTAAACCCTAAGCCCTAAACCCTAAGCGAGCTTGGGGCGCTGCGGTTAGCAGCAGCAAGCACACCGGGGGGTGACTGCCGCGGTAGCTGCACCCTAAATCCTAAACCCTAAGCCCTAGACCCTAAACCCTAAATCCTAAACCCTAAACCCTAAACCGCAAAGGACCTCATAAGAGACATACGCGCTCCTAACCCGGGTTGGCCCCACACGTGGATGTAGGGTTTAGGAATCAGGGCTCATGGTTCAAGGCTTTGGATTTAGGGTTTAGGGCTTGGGGTTTAGGATGTCCGGTTTAGGTGTCGGGAGTCAGGGCTGAAGATTAAGGGTTTAGGGCTTGGGGTTTAGGGTTTAGGGTTTAGGGTTTAGGGTTTAGTGTTTAGGGTTTGGGGTTCCGCAGTTCCGGAGGGATTTGCCCCCAAAGGCCTCGGACCTCCATCGCATCTGCGAAAAGCTGTTCCCGGGTTCAGTTTGTTTGGGTTTAGGGTTTAGGGTTTAGGGTTTAGGGAGAATGCAACTTTTTATGGTCTCGGGTTTAGGGTTCAGGGAGAATGCAAGAAATAGATGAAAAACCCCGAACTCGACCAAGGCCATAGGTTGGGCGGGCGGGTTGGGAGGGAGCACGAGCCCGTGGTGCACACCAGGATACATGCAGGGTTTAGGGTTTAGGGTTTAGGGTTTAGGGTGTAGGGTGTAGGGTGTAGGGTTTAGGGTTTAGGGTTTAGGGTTCAGGGTTCAGGGTGGGCGCGGAACGCGGCACACCCTAGAATCGAAACAAGGGTCTGTTTGGAGCTTTCGGCTTTGTGGTTTTGGGTCTCGGCCGGGGAGCTTGGTTGCAATACTTCAGTGACTTCAGTGTAGGGTTCAGGGTTGCCGATGCACGTGTGACAACACCTGCGTGCGACAGGGGATCGGCTCTCAATGGCCACATGTCAAGATGGGTTCCTCAGAACAATAGACATGCTCAAATCGGTCCTACAAGCATGCCGAAATGTCATGCATGTAACATTAAATTACGTACCTACAAGAGGCCCTTCCCCTCCCCCCTAATAGCCCAACGTCAGAAGCGAAAGATGATTTAACTTCACTTGTGTACGGCTTTCGTCTGTCTTCGCTACGCGATTGGACATGGAATCTCGCAAGTCCGAATGAATCCACATCGGCTATATTTTATCTGCGAAGTGCCGTCAATGTGCTGCCAGTATGACTTCCGGACATTTTGTATCAGACTGAGGGACCATAATAAGAAACTTGCGTTCGCAAAGGCCAAGCATCTGCCGAATCCATCTGATCATAATGAGTGACGGGCTTCACAATCATGCCGTCCATCTCGCGTGCGGTTGAGCCCTTGTTGTGACAGGTCCGCCCAATTTTCAAGAAGACTGTTGCTGCTCGCGCCACGAAATCAAGAAATCAAGACCCAAATTTGGAAACAAGAGTCCGAGTTTCCTTCTTAGGATAAGGGGGACCCTGAAAAAGGAACCCCTTCTTAGCCCTCTCCTGGCTCTCTGAAACATGGACCTTATTCAGAGGGTCTATATATCCCCAACGATCCCCCTAATCCTATCCCCTACTTAATGGAATTGAAGTATGTCGATGCAGCTTGGGGCTTAAGCCCGAAGCTTTCAGCCCAGAAACCTTACATGCAAAAACCCGACGCCGAATCCTCATATTAGCCCGATGAACTCGAAAATCCAAACCGCCCTAGAAACCCCTCAAAACCCCCGAAAGCCCTCTAAAACCGCCTAAACCCTCAACCTTCAACCCCAAACACTAAGCCCTGAACCCTAAACCCTAAACCCTAAATCCTAAACCCTAAACCCTAAACCCTGAACCCTGGCACAACCAGGCTGTGGGCCCAGGCGGCCGCCGACTTCAACGTCGCCTCTACGCTGCCTCTGCGGGCGCGCTGCTTCGACCACACCAGGCTGGATTATTTCTCGAGGGGTTTAGGGTTTAGGGTTTAGTAAGGGTTCAGGGTTTAGGGTTTTGGGTTGGTTTTGGGTTAGGGCTTAGGGTTTAGGATTTAGGGTTAAGGGTTTAGGGTTTAGCGTTTAGCGTTTAGGGTTTAGGGTTTAGCGTTTAGGGTTTTAGAGGGTGTTTTGGGGGATTTCCTTGTGGGTTTCCAGGTTTGCAAGGGTTTAAGGGCGCTGGGTTTAGTGTTTAGTGTTTTGGGTCTTCAGGGGCCTTTATGGGGCCCTAAACTCCTAAACCTCCGCTAGAGATCTTTGCATGCCTCTCGCATGGATCGTCCGCAGGACCATTTGCATAAACCCCTATACCCCCAAACCCAAAGAGATACTAAGCCCAAAACCGAAAAAAAAAAGACCCTCAACCCTTAAAGCCCTTAAGCCTTAAGAGCCCTAAACCCCAAAAAGACCCAGGTAACCCCTAACCCTAAACCCTAACCCTAAACCCTAAACCCTAAACCCTAAACCAGGCTGGTAGGCGCCACCCTTCGTGCTTGGGTTGCCTGGGCGGCGTCCAAGAAAGCGACGCTGAGAGCAGAATTTAGAGTCAACAGCATTTGGGGGCTTTAAGGGATTTTCAAGGGTTGAGGGTTTAGGGTTTAGGGTCTAGGGTTTAGGGTTTAGGGTTAGAAGTTAGAGTCAGAGCTGAGCCATTTGGGGCTTTAAGGGATTTTCAAGGGTTTCAAGGTTGTGTTAGGGTTTAGGGTTCGGGGCTTTCAGGGGTATTCAAGGGTTTTAAGGGTTTTTAAGGGTTTAGGGTTTAGGGTTAGAGCAGATTTTAGAGTCGAAAGCTATTCGGGGCTTTAAGGGCCTAGGGTTTAGGGTGGGTTTAGGTTTTCGTTTAGGGGTTTAGGGTTTTATTAGGTGTTACTATCTTAGGTGTTAGGGTTTTGGGATTTCGGGGCTTAGGTGTTTAGAGGGGCTCACTGGTTCATGGTTTAAGCTCCAGGGTTGTCACCGTTTTCCGACACCAATCTCACAAAGACAGCCACTCATGTTCAGGTTCGAGACACCTCCACGAGAGGGTCCGAAGACACAGGAATGGCAACTGCTGCTAAACCCTTTGACGCCCTGCAAGCCCCAAAAGCCCCAAAAGCCCCTAAACCCTCAACCCTAAGCCCTAAACCCTTTGAACCGGCCCTCGAATCACTTATGTCTACCTTCAAGACTTTGACGCAAGGGAATGCAGCTAGCCACAAACACTAAGCCCTCTTCCCTAAACCCTAATCGCCCCACTACACCCCCCCTGAAGCCCCTGAACCCCTAAATGAGTGCCAAAGCCCCTACATTGTGAAACCTTGAAACCCCAAAGCCCCAAAGCTCCTGGCAAAGAGACTATTCGGGTCAGCTTTAAAGGGTACTTGGGGCGTGGAATCTCCCCAAGTCCCGCCATCCCCGGGTACCTTGGAGACCGCCTCAACCCTACAAGGGCTTTTGGAGGGTATATGGCCCCAGTCTTGGGGTTCATTTGGTCCCTCAAGGCTAAACCCTAAACCCTAAACCCTAAACCCTAAACCCTAAACCCCTAAACCCCTAAACCCCTAAACCCCTAAACCCCTAAACCCTCAACTCGAGGAAGCACGCCGAGCTCCTGCGCACGCGCCGAGGCCTCCTGCGAAGGTGCGCAGGGACTCGGGGCCGAAAGGGGTTGAGTGTTTTCGGGTGGTTTGTATGGGGTTCGGGACCCTAAACCCGAAAAGCAAAACCCGAAACCCTAAACCCTAAACCCTAAACCCTAACCCTAAACCCTAAACCCTAAACCCTAAACCCTAAACCCTCGGGTATAGGGGGGGAGTCTGGCTTTCGAGTCTAGGCCTGATAACAGGGGCACACTAAGGAGGGTAGTGCTGCATATGCACCTCTTGAAGCGAACTTGGGGAGGCGTAGGTGAAAGGTTTAGGGTTTAGGGTTTAGGGCTTTGGGTTTAGGTTTACCGATGCCCCCCAAACCTTCAACCCTCAACCCTAAACCCCAAGGGGGGGCCTACACCCGAAGCCCTCTTCGAGCCCCTACTCCCGCCCCCCTCCCCTCCATGCAGGACGTCGAAGTTGGCAAGGGCGATGGAGTTCTGGCGCAGGCCCACTTTAGGGTTTAGGGTTCAGGGGGGTTGAGAGTGTGGAGATGCAGGGTTTAGGGTTTAGGGACGCAGGGTAGGGACACAGGGTTTAGGGTTTAGGGTTTAGGGTTACTGTCTGGGTTTGGGGGTGCTTTTGCTTGTTGTTTGGTTGATTTAGGGTTTGTCTAGAGTAAGCCTGCAACAGAAGGGGGTAATGTACCAGTGATGAGTCAGTTTGGTTTCAGCGCATCTTGGAACTCCCCAAACCCAAACCCCGGTTTAGGGTTTACGGTTTAGGGTTTAGGGTTTAGGGTTTAGGGTTTTTAGGGTTTAGTCAAACCTGTGAGTCGCCAGCCTGCAGCCCCTTCGAGCACTCTCGAACTTCAAAGCCAACAACATAGGACCCTCGTGGTGCACATGTGTTTGAGTCGTTTCTAGGGCATGCTTTCGGGGTTTCGCTCTTTTGTCCTCCGAAAAATGCTTCCGTCCCCAAACCCTAAACCCCACACCCCAAACCCCAAACCCTAAACCCACCTGAAAAACCCAAAGGTGCGCCTGCGCGAGAGAAAGAAGGCGCGGCCTAGTAGCGCGCGCGGCGGCGCAGCACCAACAGCGCCTTGGGCGGAGCAGTTCAGGGTTTAGCGTTTAGGGTTCAGGGTTTAGGGTTGACGTTTTAGGGTTTAGGATTTAGCGTTCACCCTAAGGGTCCATGTACCCCATTATTGTATGCTTTGGCCCCAAAGTCTGTACAGTAGGAGGTGGGTGCTTTGAGGCCCAAGTATGCCCTATTTAGGTATACGGGCCCTTTAGGTTCAGGGTTTAGGGTTTAGGGTTTGGGGTTTAGGGTTTAGGGTCTAAGGCTTAGGGTTTAGGGTTTAGGGTTTAGGGTTTAGGGTTTAGGGTTTAGGGTTTAGGGTTTAGGGTTTAGGGTTTAGGGTTTAGGGTTTAGGGTTTAGGTTTAGGATTCGAGTTTTGGGGTGTATAGGGTCCAGGATTCATTGTTCAGGGTTTAGGGCTTGGGGTTTAGAGCTTAGGGCTTTTCAGCGTCAGGGACCACTTTGGGTATCGACCCAATGCGAAGCGTTTATCTGTCCAGAATACTGAAGTACCCATGATCCCCTAAACCCTAAACCCTAAACCCTAAACCCTAAACCCTAAACCCTAAACCCTAAACCCTAAACCCTAAACCCTAAACCCTAAACCCTAAACCCTAAACCCTAAACCCTTACCTTCTGGCCCCAGAGGGTTTAGGACAGTAGCCTCTACACCCAAATACAGGAGCCGAAATGATTTTCAATGTGGTCCTCTTTGCGCTGCGATTCCTACAATCTGTCGATACCCCCGAACCCTAAGCCCAAAACCCTAAACCCTAAACCCCAAACCCTAAACCCTAAACCCTAAACACCCCTTTCGGATCGCATGCGCAGGCAGCTGCAGTGCCGGGGCTTGGCAGCGGCGTGGTGGCAAGCAGCGAGCACGGACTTAGGGTTTAGGGTTTAGGGTCTAGGGTCTTAGGGTTTAGGAGGTTTGGGGTTTAGGGTTTAGCATTTAGGGTTTGGGGTTTAATTAGGGTTTAATTTGGGTTTAGGGTTTAGGGCGAGGGTGTATAGAAGTTGTTTAGGGTTCAGGTTCCACTAAGTCTTGAACGAAAGTGTTGAACGAAAGTTTTTGTTTTTGGAACAACTATTTTTTTTTGTTTTGTTTGGGGGGGGGGGGTGAGGGGGGTTGGGGTCTGGGCATTCTGGGCACGGGGGAGGGTTGGGGGAGCTGGGGGCAAACCCCCGCCTTTCCAGGTTTAAGTAAATTGAGCATTTTGTTTTCAGAAATGTTTCGGATGAATGTACTTAAACCCTGCTTGTCAGCTGTTTAGACAAATAACTTGGGAAAATCATAATGATACGACATACAATTTCCATTTATTTTGTCTTGAGATGTTAAGGGTTTAGGGTTTAGGGTGGGTTGCACCTTGCCCTTAAGGGACCCAAAATGAGCAGATTCCCGCCTCTAGCCACATGCCTAGTCATCAGTTTTTGTGATTTGGGCTTAGGGTGATCGGGTTTAAGGGGCCTAGGTCTATATAGGTTCAGCGGTTCAGGGGTTCCAGAAGGTCAATCTAGTCCACAAGAAAACAGGGTGCTGCTGTAGCATCAAAGGTTGACCCCCCACATCAAAATGACATGATGGCCTTGTTTTTTTTTGAATCTTCAACCTCCTAAGCCTTGCAAAGCCCAAGTGACAGAGCTGAAGCCCTCAACTCGACCTATAAGTCATACATGCGAGCCCAAAGCCATGCCATATACACCGTAAACGCGATAAACAGATGGCTCATGTAGCGGCTGCATGTGCTATGAACAGCAGTGTTGCTTGTCATTTCGGCCCATCCAGAGGCTTCCTCTCTCTGCATTCCGCCCCGATGCTTCATGTTCGGCTGCTCTCGGGCGAGGAGTTGGCAAAAGTGCCGCTGCAGGATGAACTGCGGGATGTGAGGGCCCTGAACCTTGGGGACGAAATTGACCCTAACATTGGGGTCATATACCCTGAGTACGATAACTTCCTATGAAGGCAATATGAACCATAAACCCTTTTAGGGTTCATTTACTCCCCAAGGAAACAGCACTTACATCGGGCGCACGGCTTGCCCCCACGTTTCCGGCAGAGGCTACTTCTGGACGGCCGGAGTCTGGCGGATGCTACTAACCTTGTGGTGCTTTACTGCAACTTCAGATCTTAAGCCTTTTGGGCTTATTGGGTTTCTTAACAAGGCAGCTAAAAATTTAGTTTATAGCTACCCTCCTAAGTGTAGCCAAGCTAAGGTCGACTCCCCTTTGGAACTGGTGCTCGTTCTGCTTCCATACCGCGAGGCATCTGTGCAGGAGGAGGAGGAGTTGTTTGCAGCGACCTCCAGTGGCTCTGTGGACCAGGACCTTGGGGACGAAATGTACCCTAAATGGGGGTCATATACCCTATACTACTGTAATTCCTATTAGGGTATATGAGCCATAAACCCTTTTAGGGTTCATTTCGTCCCCAAGGGAGCGGCATCTGTCATATGGTCAGCTCAAAAGAAGCCAGCTCCCTCTGAACCGCATATGGGCGCTCTAGCAGTAGCAGCCCCTGAACGGCCTGAACCCAGATAGGCTAACCCCGAGGTCGAGCTCAAGCTACAGCACCCCTGCGACCCGAACATCACCAACATCGAGGGGCTCACTGCGCTGACCGTGGCATCAACGGTTGGACATGTTGAAGTTGTGCGTTTGCTGCTTGAGGCCGGCGCCCATATCGACCATCAAGACCGACACCTCAGAACTGCTCTGAACCTCGGGGAACAAATGAACCCTAAAAGGGCTTGGTGGTTCAGATACCCTGAATAGTGGCTCTAGTAGTTTCGGGTTGGTGACCCCAATTTTAGGGTTCATTTGGTCCTCAAGGATGTGGGCGTCCGAATTTGGCATCGTTGAGGTCGCGCGCGTGCTGCTTGAGAGCTCGGCGAGCATCGACTTGACCGACGGACGCGGCATCACTGCTCTGATGCTTGTATCGGGGAACCCCCTCGTTGACCACACGGAGGTCGCAAAGTTGTTGCTGGAGTATTCAGCTCACGTCGACTTGACAGACAGCGAAGGCACCTCTGCTTTGATGAGGGCATCTCTCAACGGGAATTCTGTTGTCGCGCGTTCCTTGCTTGAGTGCTCAGCGAGCATCGACTTGACCAACAACGACGGTGCCTCGGCCCTGATGTGGGCATCTGCCAAGAATCACAAGCACACCGTGCGTGTGCTGCTGGAGGCCAAGGCCTACATTGACTTGAGCGACCGCCATGGTGCCACAGCTCTGATGACGGCAGCCCAGAAAGGCCACGCGGAAACGGTGCGCTTGTTGCTGGAGGCCGCCGGGCGCGTCGACGTGGCCGACGCCGGCGGTAACACCGCCATGATGCTGGCATCGCAGCGGCGCCATGTTGAGGTCATGCGTCTGCTGGGTAAAGCAACTGCTCACACCACAGGCATGTCTGAGGGTGGCAGCTGCACCGTGACCTGAACACCTCGATCAACGGCAGGGCTGGAGAAGAAGCACCCAACCCACGATAGTAATATAGGGGCCTTAATAATTAGAGTATCCGCAAGGGAAGACTGTTAGTACTACTAGCATTTATTCCGACCCCTTATATTACTTGCCATTTGCACACCCTTGGCAGCTTTCCTCACAACACCCTGAAGGATCTGGATAAGTTGCCTTTTGATCCCTAGGCCCTCAGGTTACGGCACCTACAACTATCAGTTGTCAATTGTCAGCAGGTGCAAGCACCCCGGTAGGTTTGAACCCTATATCCTAGCGCCTCAACAACATCTCCGGAAGCAGAAGCCCCAAAAAACTACCCGCCGTGAAAGGCTGGACCACAAACCCAAGCCACGAAACCCTAGTACGCCAGACACACCACTATGTATACACATTGACATACGTGTGTATATATATATATATGTAGACATACACCATCCCTAAACCGTAAACCCTCAACCCTAAGCCCTAAACCCTAAGCCCTAAACCCTAAACCCTAAACCCTAAACTCGAAACCCTACGTGGAGCCCCACATGTCGTGAGGCTTGGCTCCTGTTCGCCTCGCGGCGGCGACGTGCCAAAGCCCGGCAACGGGAGGCTCGTCTGCTACAACTAAGGATCTATGTAGGGTTTAGGGCTTAGGGTTCAGGGTTTGGGGTTTGGGGTTTAGGGTTTAAGGCTTAGGGTTTAGGGATTTTGGGTTTTAGGGTTTTAAGGAATTTGGGGCTTTGGGGTTCATAAGTATACAAGAATCAGGTGTATGGAGCCTCAGGCTACTTTTGCCGAAAGAACCCCCCCCACCCTCCCCCCCTCCGTAGTTTGTGGTCCAGCATCCCAGAGGGCTTTCTAGGCTTTCTAGGGTGTTTAGGGTTTAGGGTTTAGGGTTTAGGGTTTAGGGTTTAGGGTTTAGGGTTTAGGGTTTAGGGTTTAGGGTTTAGGGTTTAGGGTCCAGGGTTGTTGGTTTAGGGTGTAGATTTTTCGTTTTTTTCGTTTTAGGGTTGAGGGTTTAGGGCGTAGAGCTTCGGGTTTGGCGCGGGATGTGGATTTTGCTGGGGGCTTAGGGCTCAGGATTTACAGGTGCTTTGCCGGATTTTTCCTGCTGGGGTTTGCACCCAATCTGGTGGCTAGGACCCAACAGCTCGTGAGTACCAGGTACTTGGAGATTCATGGGTAGTTCTAAGTGGAGGTACTTACTAAACTGTAGGTGAATAGCGTCCCAGGAATCCCTGTTAAGGTCACTGCAGGGGGGGATCTTCGCAACTTGTCCAGGCGCGAGGTTGCTTCAACCAGGCCGCCCGCGGAGAGGCCACGCGAGCTTGAAGAGGGTTTAGGGTTTAGGGTTTAGGGTTTAGGGTTTAGGGTTCAGGGTTCAGGGTTTAGGGTTTAGGGTTTAGGGTTCACTTCATGGGTTTTTTTAAAAGGCGTTGTCATTCAGAGCTCAGGGCTTAGGAGCTTCGGTCTTCCGGATTTGCTTAAAAGTGTCTTGGGTTTGTTAGGGCTTGATGGCTCCCTTGAACCCTAAACCCTAAACCCTAAACCCTACACCCTAAACCCTAAACCCTAAACCCTAAACCCTAAACCCTAAACCCTAAACCCTAAACCCTAAACCCTAAACCCTAAACCCTAAACCCTAAACCCTAAACCCTAAACCCTAAACCCTAAACCCTAACCACCTCGAACTAGGAAAAAAAGTCCCTGGACCTTAAACCCGAAACCCTCAGCCCTGCATCCTTGAACACCTTAAGCCGTTTCATATAGGGTTTTGGGTTTACATTTCTTTATGGTTTTGTTTTGGGGCTTCAAGGGTTCTGAGGGGGCCCCCAGACCAGAGGGTGGAAAGCCGCTGTCAGCGCTGCTTGCGCACTTGGAGGTTCATGTACGTATAACTGTGCTTATCACCATATTAGGGCACTTAAGGGGCTTATAAGTGGGTTCTCCCAAACCCTAAACCCTAAACCCTAAACCCTAAACCCTAAACCCTAAACCCTAAACCCTAAACCCTAAACCCTAAACCCTAAACCCTAAACCCTAAACCCTAAACCCTAAACCCTAAACCCTCACCCCTAAACCCTAAACCCTAAACCCTAAACCCTAAACCCTAAACCCTAAACCCTAAACCCTAAACCCTAAACCCTAAACCCTAAACCCTAAACCCTAAACCCTAAACCTAACCCTTTTCAGTACAGTTCGAATTAAGTACCATGAACCTCCAAGCAGAGGCGCTCGCCTTGCTCGCCGCAGCCTTCGACACCAGGCGCTCGCCTGCTCATTTAGCCGCGTTGAAGCCGCGGGGCTAGGGTTAGGGTTTAGGGTTTAGGGCTTAGGATTTCTTATATATTGTTTAGGGCTTAGGGTTTAGGGTTCAGGGTGTAGCGTCTTGATTTTTATCATTATACACAGAAACGTTTTTGGAGGGTCTCCTTTCGCTAACGGCTTTCTGGGCCGGGCGGGCAAAGAAACAGAGGATTTCAGCTTCTTGCCCTGTGTCAGCCCGAAACCCTCCACCCTAACTTCTCTGAAACCCTGGCAGTCCCCAAAGCCTACACGCCAAAACCCAAAACGCTGCAGCCCAAACCCGAACCCCTAAGCCCCAAACCAGCACAAGCACAAATTCCGCCCTCAAACCCATAAACCCTGCAACCCTTAAAAACCCCAAGGCCTTAAAACCCCAAACCTTCCAACGCAACCCCCCAAAAAAGCAAACGTGAAACACGAGGCCAAGATAAGCCCTAAACCCTATCTAAGCCCTAAACTTCCTAAACCCTATCTAAGCCCTGAACCCGATGAGCCCTAAACCCCATAAGCATGATAACTTTCAAAGCTCTGAACCCTAAGCCCCCTAAGCCCTCTAAGCCCTAAACCCTATAAGACCCAAGCCCTGAGCCCCAAACATTGAAGCCTAAACCCTGTAAGCCCTAATCTGTAAGCCCTCGAAGCCCTAAACCCTAAGCCCTCTAAGGCCTAAACTGCTATAAGCCCTGAACCCAATCAGGCCTATAAACTCATCCCTAGACCCCAAACCCTAAACCCTATAAACCCTAAGCCCATACACCCCCGCAACCCGAAATCCCTAGACCCTAACCCTAAACCCTAAGGCCTACAATCCATAGTCGCCAGACCCTAAACCCTAAGCCCTACAACCCATAGTCCCTAGACCTTATAAACCCTACAACCCAGAGTCCCTATACCCTAAACCCTATAAACCCTAAACCCTACAACCGAAAGTCCCCCTCTTAAACGCCGGGGGTGGAGGCAGCGACAACGCCACGCGGCCGCCCTGGCTGCATCGCCGCCGCTGGACTTGGAGGGATTTCGGGATTAGAGGTTTAGGGTTCCGGGTTGCTATTGCCTCTAGGGTTTGCCAGGGTTTCTATAGGGTTTCCAGGGATTTCTAGGTTTCTAGAAGTTCTAGGGTTTGTAGAGTTTCTAGGGCTTAGGATTTGGGGTGCTTGTTCTTCTTAACGGGTGGGCCGACAATGCCTGGGCCTCCAAGCATCCGATGTGCCCATTAAACATGCAACGTTGTATGCTGACCCAACAATGAAGGTGCGCGCCTCTTCCCCCAGGGGACATTTAACTTCGGTTGCTCTGCCTTGGGACCAAATGAGCCCCAAAATTGGGTCACCTACCCTCTACTACGATAGTTCCCCAGCTCCCCAGCCTTTTAGCTCCCAGCTCCAGCTCCCCAGCCCAGCTCCTCAGCCTCCTCAGCTCCCCAGCTCCCCAGCTCCCCAGCTCCCCAGCTCCCCACCTCCCCAGCTCCCCAGCTCCCCAGCTCTGCAGCCCCGCTCCCCAGCTCCCCAGCCATAAACCCTAAACCCTAAACCCTACACTCCCACCGAAACTCTTGTCAACATTGTCTTTTTAATTTTCCAAACCCTAAACCCTTTCGGATTCATTTGGTCCCAAGGTAGGCCCCCAAACCTCAAAGCCTCCAACTCGCAGCCTGAAAGTCCCAAACCCTCAAGCTCCTCGACCCTACTCCTCAACAACCGAAATGCTGAGATCCTGAACCCCCAAAGTCCAGAAACCCCCTAAACCCCTAAAACCCAAAGCCCCCCCGGCTTTCTCGAATTGTGCATGAGATTGGCATTGCAGCAACCTTGGACTTGGGAAGCAGCAGACTGAACTTGGCCGCAGACCCTAAACCCTTAACCCTAAACCTTGAACCCTAGACCCTAAACCCTATACGGGGGGACAACCAAGGAAGGAAATCAACTCCCCTAATCGCCCTGAACCTTTATTCCCCAGATCGAACCAAGAAACAAACGAGAACACGGATAAGAGCAACCCAGGGGGAAAGGAAAGGGGGAAGGAATCCACACCCTTACCAAACCCTAAGAACCCAGGCACTATTTTTTGAACTTGTGGCTTTCTGTTCAAGCCCATCTTGAGCCAAACATGTTTTCCGGGTTCATTAACCCTTCCAACTCTCAACACTAACTCTTTTCTACAATACCAGTTGCAGCTCCGCACTCCCCCTGTCCTAGGATTTCCTAGGACACATTGGAGGTGCAGATCTTTGGCCAAAAACTGCCATTAGGGCAGCAGCCAGCTGCTTGAAATGCACAATATGGTTTTACGTCTACCAGGACGAAATTATAGCACATTGGCTAAATCCACTAACCATAGAGAATCTTTTTTTTTCACCTTGATCCTCTTATCATTGAAGACACTTCGGCCTTCTTCACCACAAACCGTGGTCTTCGCTACATGAACTACTAACTTCTACTATCAGGGATTTCCATACCCTTAATAGTAACCACCACATTTTCAGCGCATTGGCCGATCCAGCGCACCTGTTTCCAGAAAGAGAAAAACCATCCCATCATCCATACCATCCAGTCACTTCTTTTTCCGGTGGTTTGCAATACTGAGGTGAAGTTGCAGCAGAATATACTCCAGGTCCGAAACTGTAAGAACAGGATCCTGCACGCACCTTTGAATTGAGGATACCAATCCTTCTCTCTTTGCGTCCTCAATCGCTTGGCAAGATTGACCCAGCTCTGCACTCACAGCTGTAGACGCTTGTGCATCCACATCAGAAGGACGATCCTTCTCCTCAGGACCTTTCACCACCACCACTTCTTCCTTTTTGGGGCTCTGACTTTTCTCCTTCTTCTTCGCCTTTCCTCCGACGTTTGACTTTGTGCGCATTTTCGAGGCTTTTTCCCCTGCAGAAACCGCCGCATTGGATGATGATCCACCCTTCTCAATGGTCGCCGGCATCTTCTTCGGCTTTGGAACCAGGAGAGTGTAAGGATCTTCGATAACTGCAGTTTTCCTCTTCTTTTTAACCTTTTTTGCCTCCTCCTCAACGGCAACCTCCGTCTCAGAAGTCTCAACCACCTCCTTTTCGGCAGGAATATCCTTGCTGGACTCCCTTTCTAGGGACCTCTTCTTGCCCCTTTTGGGATCTTTTTCTTCTTCCACGTTGGCTCGCTCGAACCATATCCTCAGGTCATTGACCCATTCTTCCACCTCCGCGAGCGAAACCTCATACGACCTCACTATTTCGTGAAGTTCCAGCACGGACAACATACCGGTGGTCCACGAAACCCATTCTCTATCCATCTGGTCAGTATCTCCATTGAACTTCAGGAGTTTGAATAGTGGGTCCGCCTCTGCTCGAGCCAAATCTGTTTTGCCATTGGACAGAAATGAAATCGCCTCCATCAACAGTTCCGCCATTTTGGTGTCATCGTCGTAAGTCATGGAATACTCCTCACCATCATCGAACTGTTCAGGAGAGATCTCCTTTTCCCCACCTTTTGCACCAGAACTTCTCCTTGGACCATCCCTTGGGGGCGTCCTTGGAGACCTTGGCCTCTGTTCATCCAGCGGATCACCATGCTCAAAAACACACCTGTCACCATAACGACACTTCCCAGACTGAGCAAACTGGATGCACCTCACACCAGTTGCATCATGCGAGAACGCACACTTCTTTCCAGCGAAACAGGGTCTCCCCGCCACATAGTATTTGCACCAATACGAATGCAGCACCACATCATCTTCTGAATGGATGAATTTGCAGTCTTCACCAAATTTGCAGCGATCTTTTCCCTTACTGAACCAACCAAGCGCTCCGCCTCGAACCGGTCCATAGGGCGATTCTGCTCTACATGAACATTGCCATGTGCCTGAGAACTGCTCCCTTCACCCCAGGTGCTATCAGTACTTGATGCTTGGAGTACAGCTGGAAAACCTGGCCTTGGTCCTACCACCTTCATGATTGGTTTTCCGCCAGCTCCTGAGCCACGCTGAGACGATCCAAAAACATTGAACTTCTTCATGAAGGCTTTCCTAGTGCCGATCTTCTGCACCCTTTTGATTGGATGCTTCATTGCTCCAACCTTGCATCCAGATACGTTCAAACGACACAACCTCTTATACCCAGCTCTATATCCCTTTTTCCAAAGAGCCATAAGAATTTTAGAGGCAGTAACATTCTCCACCTCTACCTTTTCCAACGATCCCTCACTTCCCGGAACAAACCCATCCAACCCATCCATATCTGAAGACCTTTCCATCTTTTTTGACACCACTTCGTCGAGGTAGTCTTCAGAAATCCAGGGTAAGTTCCTCTTAGAGGAAGGATTGTCACCATTGTTTGGTCCTTCGCCAGGATACCCCTTTGTGCTGTCAAAGATCTTACCAGTAGTGCGGTCCTGCGTAGAGAAATTGGAAGCAACGCGAGAGTACACTGACCAAAAGAAAATCCTTGTGCCCGCCAGTCTTGACGACCCACTGGATGTCTCCTCTTCCGGAGAGACTTCTGGCGCTTTGCCATCCCTTCCAGTGTCACCAAGTGTCTCACCTCCAGCATCTTCAATGGGAATAAGGGATTCATTGTTCCCTTGATCTAGCACCGCATCTTGTTGATCGGGGATCTCCAGCACCATTCCTGTAGGATCCACTTCCTCATCAGCATCGTCGTCCATTCTTCTCCAGAGAACCTCCAATTGATCAGCGCAGGTCGCCGCCTGAAGGAACTCCATCATTTGGTCCCTCCCGTGCTGCCAGAGAAATTCGGAATTCACCACTGTCCCTTGGCCTCCTAGTCTAAGGAATGGAGCGACCAGATTGGCTACCCTTGCCATAAGTTCCACATGAACTTCCATGCCTGGACTGCGACTCCAATCATAGGCTATTGCCTCCATAGCAGTTCCAAATTTTTCAGTATTTCTGAATTCCTTTTCCAGGCCAGGAGAAAGCAGTGCACCCATCACCGAAAGAGGATAATTTCCCACCACCGGCAAGCACGGATCTTCATGGAACGAATGATGCAAAACACCATAGTGTCCTTGATCTCTCCTTTCAAAAAGGAGTCTCCCAGTATTCAACTGGGCATTCAGTTCATCCACCTGAACCATTTCAGCACATATTCTCTGTGCCGCAGTCGCTATTGCCGGCCAGATAGCACGATCTGCCAACCCACGACGCATAACCCAAATAGTTGTCGCCGACTGAATCAGTGTACCAGGGTCACATGGCATGACCACCAATGCACCATCATCCATTCTCTGATCAGCATCATCTTCCAATGCCAGGTTCAAATCCTGTTCGCTTGCACCTTCAGATGACATGCTAATAACCAAATTTCGATCCATTTTATTGGACCCCTTCTGGTAGTCCTTGTGCCCCACAGGTAACTTGCCGACAGCAACCTTCCAATAAATCCGATTCAGAAGACCTTTAACAAGCAATTGCTGAGGAACATTCTTCACCGGACGAACATCCAATGTCTTCGCACCATCACCACGGAGTTCATTGCTCCCACCTTCTCCTTCGTTTTGGTCAGTCTCCTCGCCAAGAATTTGCACTGCTCCTTCCAGCGCCGTCTCCTGTCCAGCCACTTCTTGCCCAGGAAGAACTTGAGCGCCTTCAGATACATTCACCTGTCCAGCAACACCTTGCCCAGGTAGAACCTCATCCGTGGAGCCCACCGCCCGCGAACCAACTATAACTGAGCCATCCCTTGCTCTTTTTTGAGACTGTTCAGTTCGACGAGAAGGTTGTGGTAGCGAAAAAACTTGAGAAGTCACTTCTTGGCGGGTCTCCCCCCGCGACGCTTTGTCGCGTTCTTCGCCAAGGTGAACCGATTTTTTCTGCCCGTCATTGGGGCCGGAAGAACCACCCATCGGAACATTGCCACGAATCGCAGTTCTCTGTGAATCCCTTTCTTGCAAAAAGATTTCCCTCATGCGTTGCACAGCATTGGTCTCTTCCTCGCTTGAATCGCTTGAGGAAGCGGCATAAGAAACCAAAGCCTCCGCCTGATCATCATC